GTGTGTGTGTGTGTGTGTGTGTGTGTGTGTCTGTGTGTGTGTGTGTGTGTGTGTGTGTGTGTGTGTGTGTGTGTGTGTGTGTGTGTGTGTGTGTGTGTGTGTGTGTGTGTGTGTGTGTGTGTCCAGCAGAACCCCCCCCAGCTGTGGACCCCAGCTCCACCGCCCATCACCACATCACGGTTGCTAAGATACAGTCGTGGGCGCGGCAGGGCTCTGTGGCTCCGACCCCCTCGCTGCAGAAAGGCTCCGCCCCCAGGACCTCTACAGGTGTGTCCCAGCATGCACCTAGGTTGGGTCAGAGGCTCCTGGATCAGGTGAGGGGTCAGTAGAACAGGAAGCAGTTCTTCTCAGCTCTCCTGGAGATTAGAAACTAAACAAAGAGATAAAAACCAGAAAACATTACAAATATAAGCTCATTAAAAACTGAAAAAAGGGACATGTTTTGACCCCCTCTTTTCCCCCAGAAGGAGTCCTGTGGGGGGGGTATGTGTGGAGGCCCCACCCCCTGCCTACCTGTCAGCCCCGCCCCCCCTGCAGGGGGCTCCTCAGAGGGGCAGCGTTCCTACCTGCAGAGCCTGGAGCGCAGCAGCAGAGCTTGGGTTCTGTCCTCACAGGGGGGGGGCAACATCTGGTACAACCCCATCCCAGAGGATGAGGGGGGAGCAGGACCCCCACCTGAGGGAGGGGGGGCAGGCTTCCCATCTGAGGGGGGGCGGATGTGGAGGAGGAGCGAGGAGCTGAGGGGGGGCAGGCCTGCAGAGAGTCCAGCAGAGGGAGCTAACCCGAGCGTTAGCCATCAGACTGATGACATCACAGAACACACAGGTAAGACTGATGACATCACAGAACACACAGGTGAGACTGATGACATCACAGAACACACAGATGAGATTGATGACATCACAGAACACACAGATGATCAGGTGGTAAACACAAGCTGATACCTCACAGGTGGATTTAAAAAACGGCGGTTGCTAACAAGTATCCAAATGAGACGACACATTAGCCGCCTTTAGCTTCATTGTCTCTCTCTCTCTCTCTCTCTGTCCTCAGACTCCACCCCCTCAGACTCTAGTCCCGCCTCCACAAAGAAAGGGGGCGTATCCAGTAGTGTGATTGACAGGCTGCGGTCTCCAGGTACGGTGAGGAAACTCTCCATGAAGATGAAGAAGCTTCCGGAGCTTCGGCGCAAACTCAGCCTCCGCTCAACACGCGGCCGGGGGGGCGACAGCAGGGCTGGGGGCGACGAGTCGACCAGTAAGAACACAGCGTCGTCCACGTCCAATCAGAATGTGATCAGCAGATATCACCTGGACAGCTCCGCCCCCCCAGCCCGACCCCTACGGAGGTCATCAAGAGGACGCTCCGCTAAGGGAGGTAACGAAACCAACACTTAACAATCAAATATCAGATGTTACCAATCCAACATCAGATGTTACCAATCCAACATCAGATGTTACCAATCAAATATCAGATGTTACCAATCCAATATCAGATGTTACCAATCAAATATCAGATGTTACCAATCCAATATCAGATGTTAACAATCAAATATCAAATGTTACCAATCCAACATCAGATGTTACCAATCCAATATCAGATGTTACCAATCCAATATCAGATGTTACCAATCCAACATCAGATGTTAACAATCAAATATCAGATGTTACCAATCCAATATCAAATGTTACCAATCCAATATCAGATGTTAACAATCAAATATCAGATGTTACCAATCCAATATCAGATGTTACCAATCAAATATCAGATGTTACCAATCCAATATCAGATGTTAACAATCAAATATCAAATGTTACCAATCCAACATCAGATGTTACCAATCCAACATCAGATGTTACCAATCCAATATCAGATGTTACCAATCCAACATCAGATGTTAACAATCAAATATCAGATGTTACCAATCCAACATCAGATGTTAAACAGGGGTTTAACGGTGTTCCAACATATAGTACAAAAAGCAAGACAGTAAAACGCGAAATGACCGACCAGATGAACACAACCAACAAACAGACTTCTACCATAGCTCTCGCTAACGAGCTATCCTTATTGAATCTGAACCTGTGTGTTTCCCAAGGCTACCTTAGCGACACCTGTGCGGCAACAGT